ACAACGCTACGCTACAACTCAGTAGACGAGTAGAGCTAGAGCAGACGGCAAAGTTCGAATGCAGCTAGAATGACATCACTATTTAAGGTTATGTTATCAAGTTATTATAAAGTTGTTGTGAAATTCGGATTCATTCCATTTATTGAAATGGTCAATTCTGTCCCTTATTTTAGTAGTCCCTCTTGTTCTAGGTACTAAAGTGTCATAATCTTCATCTTCTACTTCTTCGAAAATGTCTATTAACTCTCTTCCATTTGAGAAGGGGCAAATACTGCAAAGTAGCCTAACTTGAAATAAAAAATAAAAAAATAACTTAATAAACACAATAAATATAAATAAAACTTAACTTATAAGCTAGCCCTAAACCAAGCCTATTTTCGTCCAAATGAATTTGCAGTTTCTTCAATTATTATTGTTTTAACACCTAAGTTACTTTTTGTTTTGATTTGAGGTTATGTTACTGTTGTAATTTACTAATTTGAACTTGAATATTGAATATGAAACTAATTTGAATAATAAACTTGAGTTTATTTTATCCCCAGTAGTTAAACCAAGTCGAGAGGTGGTTTAGTTTGAACTTAGATTAATACCTAGTTTAAATTTGGGGAAACACAAATCTAAAATAAACTAAGTTTAAATCACCGTTTAACTTAAAACTAAGTTTAAATGAGTTGGGGAAACCGGGCCTAACTGTGAAAATAATACGCAGATTGTTCAGTAATACACGATACCACATGGAAATTTACCTAACATTATGACGAGGCATGACGAAATATATATTGTAACCATACCATACTGAATTTGTTGAGACGATGGCTTGGTAGAGAGTGAAATCCACGGACTTCGGGCCCAAGACAGCGATGTCGTGGGTTCGGATAGGATCCTATAGGTACCTACTTGTCCACGCAAAGGCCTCTGTGGGCCATGTGGACAGGCAAATGCCACCAACATGTAAAAAAATAGGTAAAAGAGGCCACCAACCTCTCAAAGAGAAAACTAATCTCTTCGGAAATAATGACTCACTAAACTCTACTATTTCGTCATTTTGAATTTAGTCATTGAAACAGTAGAGCAGTAATCTATATGTGATAAGCCCGTCACTTAAGCTCAAGGATGGCAAAACAATGAGTGATACGAGCAATGTACACTAAGCTACAACTCTCTATCACTTTATCACTTGATGAAACCGGAAGTTTCGAAATGGCGTGAGCTGATAGCGTCTTCACGCCGCTGCCTGTAAAAGTGGGCACTGACCAACACACGACACGCGTTCGCTTATCGGACGTGTGCGCAAATTAGCAGCAATTGCGTACAAGTTTCTTAATTTCCAGTGTAATCCGATCTAGGCAAACAATATTGCAGGCCTACTTTGTTAGTTTGGTAAAGTAGATTTTATAATTTATATGTGAGTACGTACGCCTATAGCATTTTTGGACGTTTTGAAAGGGGACAGTCCAAAATGTTTTGAAATTATTATCTAGTGTCAACATTTTTGTTGGAAATCACTATTAATTAATAGCCCATTAACAAAGGTAATCTTGGTTTGATAATCGTTCTCGCTTGGAATTGAACCAGTGGTCTTCAGATTTAAAGGTGATCACTATAACTATTCTGCTACAAATACAATAATTTTTATAATATATAATAATCAATAATAAATATAACAATACAATATTATAAAATAATAAAAATTATAAAATATTATTACAAGTATTATTGTGTGTAATAATTATTACTAGAAGTCGTTAAGTGGTCGAAAACTCGACCATAAATATCTAATGTACAGACTTCTCTATTTTAACCCCACGCTGTAAAACGTGTGGTTGGAATTTCTTCCATTTCATTTGATTTTCTGTTTATATTTTGTTGTTTTTTCGTCACCAGCATGGCAACCCATAAGTCCCATGTTAATTTTTTAAATTAATTTGTTGTGTTTGATTTTTTAGCCAATTTTAATTATTTATAACAGGAATTCTGCACACCTAAAAGAAAATATCTTTCTAGCAGTCTGTGTAGATTTTTCCTTCGATGCACACGAGCTGAGAAAAAGTGTGAAAAACATGCTTGCCTACCATTATATGGATAGATTTTGTGGATTTTTGATACTTGCTTAGCAATTAAGGAGGTTAACATACTTTTACGTAGCATATTACAATTCTGAAAACGGTTGATGCTTGAACCATATGGCAAAATTAATATAACATTTTTCTAGCATTTATAAAAATTAATATTTTGTTTCATGTATCTACATTTTGCAAAGAGGTGTTAATATAAATCATAGGGGTTTCGTACAGTATTTACTTTTGAAACTTTGAAAATAAACACTATTCTATTCACAAATGTAAAGCGTTCACTATGTTATATCTGAACTCTTGTCTTTCCTCCGTAGCGAAAGAGAGAGGCGAAGATAAATTTACATATTTATAAGTCACATTACTCGGGTTTAAATATATTTTTAAACCAATGTTTCTAGACCCTGAGCTGTTGGGCATAATGCAAAACTAAATTACTTAAGTAATTCCCGTCACAGCTCAACAAAATAAGCCAATTAGTACATGTTTCGGTATTAAAACACCATAGTCAACTTCAGATATTTGTACAGTTAATCAGTTTTCAACAATGTCCAGGGTAAATACAGTAATTTAGTGTAAGCTTGTGCGTGCCGTATTGTGTTTACCCTTGACGATTTTAACAACTGATCAACTCTCCAAGTACCTATAGCTGACGATTGTGTTTTTAACACTGAAACATGTACTAAATTTTGTTGAGCTGTGACAGGAATTTTGTCTTTTATTAATCTTGCTTTCACAAGGTTTTCGGTCTATTTTAACTTTACATTTGCCTGTCCTCTTAGGTCTTGGAAGTGCAGAACGCATTCTACAAATTCTGTGGTGACCCGATACAATACAAGCGTGAACTCTATTGATCAAATTTAGTGGCGGGTACCAAGACGCAAATCTTACGACATCGGAGGAATTTATTTTTTATTATCTTTTTCACCTCCACCTCCTAGGACGCTCACTAGTTGTAGTCCGGAACTGTTTTACACATTACTTCAGGCTAGTCCTAGTGGGTTACGGCATTATCATATAGCATATTATCATCATTGGTGATTGGCGGGATTTGAACTCGGGGCCTTGGGCGTCGAAGATCCTCACTCTGCCACTAGACCAGCTCGCTCACACGACATTGGACCAATGGTTTCGTAATTTGTTGCATTAACAAGATAAAATGAAAATCTCTTGCTTCAACAGGCAAAGATAGCCATACGAACATTTTTTACAATTAGCCTGTCAACATTTAACCAACCAAGCCACCTCGCCAAGAACTTTCTACAACCAAGGACTCGTATATAACTTTTAGGAAAACCATCCTTTAACCTTTTGTTTCTCCTCCTCGCAAAACAAATCGTTTGACTATATTATTTATCGTCCGCGGAACTTGACAGAGCTTTGCATAAAGCACAGAAAACGCGTAAACAAACAAGGATTCAAACGGACGCGTCGTTGATTCAAATTGTAGTCGAACAACGCTCGTAAGTCTCACACAAGAAACCTGTTCCAGGGTTGCAGCCTTATAAACTATTGTTATGTCAGAGTAATAAATACAAAACGCTTCTTCAATGCGAGTGAGCGGCAAAGTCATGAAGACATTTTAATCGGACTATAATCACTGCATTAGTGCGTTTAACTGTTTATCGCATCGCTGGTTAATTTTCTCTCGCGTTGCTCGCAGCCATACTGATGGTTATTGGAATGGGTAGTTTGAAATTTAATGCAAAATATCAAGTAAGATGATTCAGTTAATCAGGAGTGCATTTTAACGATTAAGCATATTGTGCGAATTTTTAAGGGGAGAATTCTCAATTAGAGGGGACATTCTCCTTGCCTAAGGGAAATCAAACAAAAGATTTGTAGAAGTATGAAATTTGTATTTTAAAGTTTTAAATTCACTGTATGAATATTATTGAATCTACAAACCAACGAACAATTACACAAAATTGTGTAAATTACAATTTTGTACTTCGAAGTTGGACAATATAGTAACTAATATAGTAACTTAGGTTAAATAAATGATTTTGATTTTTCTTGCTATTGCGCAAGATCATACTATCGGTTAGATGAAAGGTGTAAATAAATGTGTAATAGTGATCGATTGCGTTGAGTAATTCGTAAAGATGTATGTGAAGTAATAAAACACATTTGTAAACAGCAAACAATAAAAAAATGTTCTTACAACTGCATAAAATGCGTCGTTTTATGGGAGACTTTAACGCTGCAGCGCACTGAAGTGCTAAGTGCTAAGTTTTGTTTTCACTTAACCAGTATGTTTGGCCATGTTTGGTATATCAGTAGGTCTGTAAAATTTTATTATTGATATATTTTCAAGTTTATTCAAGCAATATGAAATTATTCCAAATAATATAAAAAGTATTTGCTGAAAACAATTATTAATTAGTGATTCTGCTGTTAGTAAGCCTACCGTACTGATTTAATCTTTTTCTAAACAACTCTCATAATGAGGGGTGTTACTAATTTCATGTAATTGGTTAAATTTATATACATAACATGACATTCGCCAAGACATAATTTGCTTTCACATTCTATGCAGATATTTCAAACAAAAAAAGCCTAAGAGATAGATCTTATTTCAATAGATTCAGTTTGCCACCCTTCATTTATTTTAAATATCCACCTAGCTTTTAAGTGTGTTTGAATTTTTAAGTCCCGAAATAAAATTATTAATAATAAAACTCTCAGTAAAACAATTCTTCTACGTTTACTGACACATCCACTGATTTTTCACACCAAACAATTTCCCGTAGTGCGCAACACTCGCGATCGATTTCATAACGAAAACTATCGCGATGAAACAATATCTGCCGTTATAGCAAATCAAACTATAACGGAGGCGGTGGCACTGAGCATTGTTGAGGCATTGTTGCGGCGCGAGCTCTCATTGGTCGAGCCGTGACGTCACGTGACTGTGACGTCACTCAGTGAAGGGACAGACGCGCTGGGTTTATTCAGCTACAGCTGGTGTGTGCGAACGGTGTTGTCTGTGTGTGTTGCAACAGTGATCCCACGGGTAGAACCGTCGGCATGAGAAAATACCACTGCAATATCTTTATGGTGAGCACTATTAGTATTGTTCCACATTAACAAATTGTCTCGCTATTGTTAGGTTTGTGAGAATAAGTTTGTCTACGGTTGGGCTTGTAAACAAATAAGTGCGTTTACATGCAGATCATGGTTTAAAGTGTAACTTTTTATCAACTTTAAAGTATACATCTTATATAAATAGTGGAAAATTGATTTAGAGTGTGTTTTTATAGGTTGCGGTATGTTAAATTTGAAAATTAGGAAAAATCTATATTAAAAAAAAGCAAAAGATTTTATTAATCGTTATATGAAAATGTAGCGAAATTTGCAAAACATGTTATTGTCATCAGTTGTATCATTACTTCAAAATTTTTTTTCGAAAATTTGTTAGTCTAGTATATAACAATAGAAACAACGAAATAACACTGAAACTAAGAGCACAGAAAACGTACTAAGAGTCTACCTAGACGCAGCCAGAATTATCGTTAAAGCATTGTTGCGGTGCGCGCCTTAATAATCTCCGTAAATTGCAAGTCTTAAGTATATAGAGTTGATTTATAATGTAACTATGGTTAGCAATTTTTTAATAGTCTTTTCCTTCAAACTAAAAAATATGGAAATGCGTAATGCATTTATCAGCAATATTTTACCCGTCTATGGAAGACGATGTGTAACTGACGTTAAGAGATTTTTCTATTTGTGTGTTCATAAGAAGCCCGATGAAATATTATCTAGCTTCTTTTTGGTAATATTCCTTTTCAATAAAAATTATCTATCACATTTGTTTATTTAAATAAACTTTTATTTATTTCCAAGTATAGTAGAAATTGTTAAATAACAACCGTTTACTCTAATAGCAGTATAAAAACATTTTAGTAAGTTTACAGTATAAGCTATCCCAAATCAACACGTAATAATATAAGTTTAATTGTACACGCTTGTAATGCATCAACAAAGTTTTGTAAATATTCGTTATTTCCAAATTTACAGAATTATTTTTTTTTCTTCTTAAATTCGTGTTTTATAAAATCCAACTATGGTGCATTTTATATATATTTTTAATGAAACACTTTATATTATGTACGGTTCTTGTAATTTGAATAGTACTGCAATTTTAAGACAAACCCGTTCAAAATCTGTAAAAATTAGAAATCAGATAAAAAAACACACAAGAAATATCTTTCCAATCTTTCCACATTTATTATTATCGGTAATCGTCCTAACAACAATACTACAGTAGTTGTCTAATTTATAGTTGTATTATACTTGTAATTGTCTAATTTACAAACTAATCGAAGTTAACCAACCTTTGAAGATTTAATCAATAATTATTTTATACGTTGTCAGCCATTTTGCAGTGCAAACTGTTTTGTTGTTTATAATTATTTTCGGTTATCGAAAACTAGCAGCCACTTCTTGAAAATTACGTTTATATAGTTAGCTACAACATGAGTCTACAAAGACGTTATGTTAAAATAATTATTCTTCGAAAATCTTATTACTTTTGGTGGGTTGTTAACTGATTTTATACTTTACAATGGTTAACCAAACTATACTACTTTATTTTAAATATAATTTTAATTATTAAAATTAAAACTGCAAGAGTGTGCTATTTATTAGAATGAACAAAATTATTTTGGAATTTTAAGTAATGTAAGTATCAAATTAAAATTCACTTCTGTAAATGTTTATTTGCACGTGAAAAATATGTTTTAACCAATATTGTTTCCATTAATTATTCATTTGTTTTAGTGTCACTATAAAAATATCGTTCTTTGTCAGTATAAAAGCGCTTCTCGATGAACTGTGAAATCTTCCAATGTTCAGTAAAACAGTTCATGCCACGCTAAATATTTTAGAGATACGACTTAAAAACAAGCGAACCTCCAAGCAAAACACACTTAGTTTATTTTCACTGCGACCAGCTAACACTAAAATGGACTAAGTGAATGTCACCAAACCACAACAAACTACTTAATTTAAGTGCTCAATGAATTCGCTAAAACCACTAATGAGGCAACACAGTGAACCAAAAACCCTCCTTAAGTACTTGACACTTTCAACACCAAACCAGAGGTTAAATGGCAACAATAAGTGGGCAGATGTTGTAATTTAATGGCATACAATCAGCTGTTCAGTACAATCAGCTGTTCAATAACGGTTGGTGGGTAAACAAGAGGAGAGGTTAGGTTATGTCAGCTGTTGCATCAGTAGGTGCATGTCGTGCTAGGCATCCATTCAAATGTCTGTACAATATTCTCTGGAATTCCTGGCTCTATTACTCCTATTCACGATTTTAATCATTTCTTGCAGCGGGTAACAGAAGCAAACACAAACATGTTGAAGGTAATTGTTCGGTCATGTCACTTCGCTATTAAATTACAAACGGTTTGTTTGTTTATTGTGAAATGAGAGTTGTACTTTATACATGCACTATGTGGTTTGTGATTATAATTTCGTAAGTTGCAAAAACATTAAGATGAAATTATCATACAAAACAAGTTATACAATTGAAAAGATAAGTATCAAATACGCTCTATGCACATAAGTTTGAAAAGGTTATATTGAAAGTAGTCAGGTGATAATAGATAGATTTGAATTATTTTGTAGATTGTTAATTCCCAAGTAGCATAAATTTAAAGATAGCATTTCTATGCAAAACCAAGCATACATGACCAAAGATAGCCATCGTACTTTATGACTTACGTACAGGTTTTCTTCGATGTCACAAGCTAGTTGTAGTTAACGTAGAATTAACTATGCAGATTTTGAGGATGATTTATGAGGATGATGGGTAATTTGTATATTGAAAGATACAATCACGTCGCAAACTAAAATCAATTAAAAGTATATGCTTTACTTTTCTTTCCTTAATGCGCGCATTGAAAAATAGTGTTTGGCTGTAAGGATGATTTCACAACGCTGTTTTGAAGTCACAAATAGTTTAATTATTTAATCTGAGTAATTATTTCTGAACACATTTTATTTTGATTAACGTATTTTAAATGTGCTGGTTTTTGTAGCTGCATTATGTTTGTAATATTACTTTAAAACAATTTTTTTAGAACACACCAAATGTATACAATTTATTTTCACAATTCTAATGTCCTCCTTACTGTTATCAACTTTTCTAATTCGAGTCATATTAAATCAATTTGATCGAAAATAAATTCACATCTTGCTTTTGTTCAAATTTATCAACAATTGACATTTTCATAACTTGCAATAATGTGTTGAGGCAATAATAATGCGGGAATAGTTTTAGTAATGCCCCATGTAAAATTAAATTAATCTTCTTAGATGGAAATGTTTAATAACATCTCTAAATTACATAAATTACTGGTCTCATTAGTATGCACTAAATTAGAAGCGTCGACTAGAAGCTCAAGTAGGCCTCTACCAAGATCTACATAATTAATATTAGACATACTAGTGGTAGAATGCGGGGCTTCGGAGCCAGGGGTCCCGGGTTCAAATCCCGCCAATCACCAATGGATAATACCGTAACCCGTTAGGGCTAGCCTGAAGTAATATGTAAAACAGTACCGGACAAAATATAAAAAAATTGTAACCAGTGACAGATATTTAAAAATCTGATAAAACCCTCTCAAACTAAATAACTTGTACATGTTTCAATTCTATTTGATATGTTGGCGCTCAGTACTACGATAGTTAGTGTTAAATAAAATATTCTATAGTGTACACTTCTTTAGTCATCAGTCATGCATGATCTAAACAACTTTGAATGAGACAAAAACAGTGTTTACAGTACCATATTTCGTTTTGGCTCTATTTTAACTTGGCACTTGATATAAAACTAGACAGCTTTGGCATTGGAATGAAGCGTGCCACATTAGTGGGCATTCCCCTATGAGTCAAAGATAGGAGTCACACATGGTCAAACGTAATTACTACTTAATTGCTACCATTACATTACATTACGTCCATTCAATTCAATGAATCACATAAATGACACTACATTCTCAAGTAATAATGTTCAAAGTAATAGCATTTAAATTTAAGGTTAAAGTATATTGTCAGTATCCTATAAAAAAAACTTAAGTAACGTTTATGGGACTGAAAAACTACATTAATACTACTGTAATAATATTCTTCTTAAGCTTGGCGGCAAAAAAGTTTGATAATAAAGTGTTATAATTATTTACACGTTTTGTTAGCACCAGTACATGCAATTGATTGAGCGTAGCGTCAGCGAGCGAAGCTCTACTACACTGCTGCTTTTGTTTTCCACATATTCCTCCTGAACGGCTCAAGCGATCCGCAAGAAATTTAAGGGTTGTTAGGTCATAGTATTCAAATATATGAAGGTATAAATCTGAAATTGTACAATTCGGAAAACGGGGCATTTTCCTGCGTGAATTTAAACTTTTAGAAGTTTAAACAAATGTATGTTACAATCAATTTTTACAAGCACAATACAAATACAGAGCAAAAGGAAATAACGATAGAATTAATACAGTTGAGTGTAAAACACTACAAAATGAAAATCCAATTAGAGCCTATGCACTATTGAGTTTAGATACTGCTAATAGACATCCAATTTGTATGAAACACTATGCACCAATGATTTGAATACTGCAAGTAGACATTTCATTTATGTGAACCTGAACCTACTATGAACAATCATGTGTGGTTACATTTCCTAAAATTATTGGATTTATGTGCTCACTCCGCTCAATATTGCAAGCACTTACACTGGAAAATGGCAAAATTTATTCTAATTAGTTAGCGTCACCTACAAATCCCAAGCCCAGCCCCAACAAGAGGACTATCCTGGACTATCCACAGCTGTCTCAAGCCCTTACGCCAACCAGACGACTATCCTGGACTATCCACAGCTGTCTCGATCACCGCAATTTACTTTCTCGATCGCGGTTTTCGTGACTAAGGCTGTTTGGACTTGTTTTTGACTGGGAGCATCTCTGGCTTTCTCCGGAGACAAATAGTCAGACTCCGAGATCACAATGAGATCGTCAAGAGGAAGTGGCAATCGCATGATGGAAACCGTA